TGCGTTATTATTTTATTTATAGTAATTTAAGTAAGCGATCAACATGCTCCCCCGGTTGTGTGGGGATAGTCGCTTGAGGTATTATTTTACTAATCATAAATAATTAAAGCAACCAGTAAGTGCCACTGGCTGTGTGGGGATAGGTGCTTGCGGTGTTATTTTATTAATCATAAATAATTACAGCAACCAGTAACTGCCCCTAGTTGTGTGGGAATAGGTGCTTGCGTTACTATTTTACTAATTATAAATAATTAAAGCAACCAGTAAGTGCCCCTGGTTGTATGGGGATAGGCGCTTGCGGTATTATTTTATTAATTATAAATAATTGAAGCAACCAGTAAGCTTCCCTGGTTGTGTGAGGATAGCTGCTTGCGTTAATATTTTATTTATAGTAACTTAAGTAAGCGACCAGTAAGTGCCCCTGGTTGTGTGGGGATAGGTGCTTGCGTTATTATTTTATTTACAGTAATTTAAGTAAGGGACCAGTAAGTGCCCCTGGTTGTGTGGGGATAGGTGCTTGCGTTATTATTTTATGTATAGTAATTGTAGTTAGCGACCAGTAAGCCGCCCCGGTTGTATGGGTATATCGCTTGCGATATTATTTTATTCATCATAAATAATTAAAGCAACCAGTAAGTGCCTTGGGTCATGTGGGGATTGGCGCTTGCTTTGTTAATTAATAAATGTTATTATTATTTAATTAAACTCATGAGGCTGCTTATTGGCCCATTTGGTTATTGGGTTAAATAGCTTGGGATTAGTTTATTAAGTTATTGTGCATGTAATTTGTTTCGAGTTATCTGGGTATTTGCGTCTTGCTTGCACCACACTGCCAATTTGAATTTCCCACAAGTTTGCCAGTCACATTTGGAGAGAACCACTGGCCTCCCCCCCCTCCTATTCAGCTTTTGCATTTTTCTTACTAGGAGCTGTAGCTATATATAGGTCCTAGTGATAAAAATGCAAAATCATATCCTCCTCACCCAACACTGATTTGCGGATGCAGCAACACCAGCAACAGCTGGTTACGGAAGCGCCTACGCGCCACCTAGCCAGCTAGCCACGTAGCTAGCTAGCCTGGTGAGAATTCCATTTCATGGTGAATATAGGCCGTGACGATTTAACGCTCGAAAATCCGATCTCGTTATCGATGTATCGATGTCTGTACGATGAATACATACAAACATATATTATAAAAGGTGATAATGATAAATCGTGTACATACATGTGAAGGTTATGTTAAAATATTTATACAGTTTACAGTTTTACACGCACACAGATGTGTACGTGACACACACACATGAATATATATATATACAAATACCTATATATATATATTAATTATATCTACATTAAAAGTGTACACACACATCCTTACATATTAATGTAGATATAAGTGGTTAACATTCATAATTAATTAACATATACATATAGTTATTT